GCACTGTGAACTGGTTCAGTTACAGACCTTTACTTGCTACTGTACCCGAACTGTGAACACTTCTACCAGCACTGTGAACACTGTGACCACTCCGGCCAGTCCTAAACAGAACCACCTACAGCACTGTGAACAACTCTTGGACTGAAGTCAGGATCTCAACATGAAAATATAGAAAAAATAGAGACAATTTTGAACGATTCTTCATTAAGTAAATCCATGTTATTCTTGAATAGTCATCAATAAATGTTACAAAATATCTGAATCCATTATAAGATGACACACGACTAGGACCCAAAACATTTAAGTGGATTAAAGCAAAAGGACCCAGGACTCTCTTATCTTCTCTAGAAACAAATGACTATATGATGTTTGCTTAATTGACATGATTCACAATCCAACTGAGTTATAAACTCCAAAGTAAGGACTAGCCTTTTTAAAACACGTAGAGAAGGATGACCAAGATGACAATACCATTGATGTGGTTTAAGAGAGGAATGAAGAGCCTTTTAAGGACCATGGTCATCTAGGCAGTACAATTCTCCAACTTCACTCTTGTCACCAATAGTCTTCCTTGTCTTTAGGTCCTGAAAGATACAATATGAAGAATAAAAGGTTACTCTTGATAATAAATCCGATTGAAAAATAAAGAAGAAGAGAAGAGAAGAGAAGAGAAGAGAAGAAAAGAGAAGAGGAGAAGAGAAGAAGAAAGAAAGGAAGAAGGATTAGAGGCAATGGAACAGTGCTGATGGTGCTAGCTTCTATTATAATATATAGGGCGACAAAAAATAAGAAAGGAAAAGACCTTTGTGCCCCTACTGTAAGTAAAGTACAATATCAGGAAAAATAAAACGCTTTAACCAACCAAACAGACCTTAACAAAATAAAATAAATTATTTCAACACTCCCGCTCAAGTTGGAGCATAGATGTCAATCATGTCCAACTTGTCACACAAATCATTATGCCGCACATGATGAAGACCTTTGGTGAAGATGTCTGCAAGTTGTTCTTCTGAGCTGACATATGGGGTGCACACTTCTCCATTCACAAGTTTTTCTCTAACAAAATGTTTGTCTAGTTCAATGTGTTTCGTCCTATCATGGAGGATTGGATTAGTTACAATATTAATAGAAGCCTTATTGTCGCAATAAAGTGACATAGGGTTGCTAATTGCAAAACCCAGTTCACTTAACAGATTTCTTATCCACATGATTTTAGCAACCCCATGAAGCATAGCTCTGTATTCTGCTTCAGCACTAGATCTAGCCACCACACTTTGCTTCTTACTTCTCCATGTGACTAGGTTTCCTCCTACAAAGGCACAATACCCACTGGTAGACTTTTGGTCATCAACTGCCCCTGCCTAATTAGCATCAGTATATACTTCCACCTTTAAATGTCCATGTTTCTGGAACAACAAACCGGCTCCGGGAAACTTTTTGAGGTATCTAAGGATCCTCTTTACAACTTCAAGGTGAGTTGTCCTAGGGTTGTGCATGAACTGACTAAGGACACCCACTGCATAAGTAATATCAGGCCTGGTCATAGACAAATACAAGAGTCTCCCTACAAGTTTCTGAAACCTCTTCACATCTTTCAAGAACTCTCCCTAACTATCTCCTAGTTGATGGTTAGGTTCAATTGGTCTCACCCCTAGTTTTCCTGTATCTTCTAGTAGATCTAGTACATATTTCCGTTGGGAATTAAAGATGCCCTTGTGAGAGTGGGCAACTTCAATTCCAAGGAAATAACGTAAGGGGCCTAGATCTTTCACTTCAAATTGAGTGGCTAAGAATTTTTTTAGTCTCTGTATTTCAACCTCCCAATCTCCTATGATCACTATGTCATCCACATACACAATTAGAGCTGCAATTTTCCCTTCACCTTTCTTCACAAATAGGGTGTGGCCTGAATGGCATTGTTTGAACCCCATCTGTTGAACCACTAAGTGGAATTTACTAAACCAGGCCCGAGGTGATTGTTTCAGCCCATATAAAGATTTTTTTAACTTGCACACTTTCTATTCACTGCCTTCGGCACAAAAACCTGGAGATTGGGTCATGTACACTTCCTCTTCTAAGTCACCATTCAAGAAAGCATTTTTAATGTCCAATTGATGAAGTTCCCAATCAAGATTTGTTGCCAATGAAAGAAGAATCCTGACAAAGTTAATCTTGGCTACTGGAGCAAAAGTCTCTGCATAGTCCACTCCATATACCTGTGTAAAACCTTTTGCCACCAGTCTGGCCTTGTACCTTTCAATAGTTCCATCAGCATTGTGTTTCACTGTGAACACCCACTTGCAACCCACTGGTTCCTTCCCTTCAAGAAGATCCACCAACTCCTAAGTGCCATTTTTGTGTAATGCATCAATTTCTTCCTTCATTGCATCTGTCCGTTCAGGTTTGGATAAAGCTTCTGCCACATTCTTAAGAACAAGGATACTGTCAACAGAAGAGAGGAATGCATGATATGAAGGTGAAATATGGTCATAGGACACAAAGTGAGAGATAGGATGATTAGTGGTACAAGATCTAACACCCTTTCTCTTAGCAATAGGAACATCAAGATCATTAATGGCAGGGGAATCAACATTGAGAGGAACATGCATATCAATAGGAGCAAGTGTACCTGGCTGATGAGAAGGATCAACCTCCAGTGAAGCCGATGATGTTGGTTGCATAGTGTTAGGTTCCACGGCTCTTGAACTCTGTTGGCTTTTGTGGCGGCGAAGAAAGACACGGAATGGAGGAGGATCAGGTAGAGGAGGTAGTTGAGTCTGAGCTTGTTTCTCAATCCTACTCTCCCCCTAAGGAGAAACCGAGAAGAAGGGTTGATTCTCAAAGAAGGATACGTTGATGGAGACATAGTACTTGCGAGAGGTGGGATCATAGCAACGATACCCCTTTCGAGATAAAGGGTAACCAAGGAAAACACAAGGAATAGCACGAGGATCAAGTTTACTCCGAGTAGGGGACAAGTTATGGACAAAGTAACGACACCCAAAAACACACATTGGAATGGGGGACAACGGAGCTTTAGGAAACAAAAGCTGAACTCATATCCATTCTCCCTAGACCATCAAAGTAACGACACCCAAAAACACGCATTAGAGTTTTATTCCCCTAGACCATCAAAGGGAATAACAGCCATGGGGAAACTCATATCCATTCTCCCATTCACTCCATTTTGACTTCCTGAAACCCCTGAAGTAGCAGAATTCTCAGATGACATGGTCAATCCAGAATTTTTTATCTAAACTCTCAACTTAGGATCCCTCCTTTTATCAGAACAAAAAGCTCCACACACACTTCAGTTTTGGACTTAATTTGAGCACAAGAACAGCACCAATTTCCAAAAAAAACAATATGACAAAACTGATTTTCAGACCTGTACAGAATAATAGTTCCAGCCTACTAGTTTTCCAGAAGATCTACAAGCATTAAACACTAAGAGAGATCCTTACACACATGAAATCAAGCCAACAAGCAGAGAAAACAGGTCATCCGTGACCTATAGACACCTTTTCACAGGTACAGGATCAGACGATCCAAAACAAAAAGAGGTATAAACCTCACAAGGGTCTGCCGACATTCAGTTGTTCAGATTCATTCGTTTTTCTTTTGGTATACGACCAAGGAAAGAAAAAAAAAAGGAAAAAAAAATAAGGCTGTACCAGTTGCAGATCTGATTCAATCAACCCAGATTAATCCTCTGTTCTGTCTCGATTCAGCAACTTGGAGAAGAAACTTGATCGCCCAGATTCAATGGCCTTACTCTGATACCATCTTGACAATAAATCCGATTGAAAAATAAAGAAGAGAAGAGAAGAGAAGAGAAGAGAAGAGAAGAAAAGAGAAGAGAAGAGGAGAAGAGAAGAGGAGAAAGGAAGAAGGATTAGAGGCAACGGAACAGTGCTAGCGGCGCTAGCTTCTATTATAATATATAGGGCGACAAAAAATAAGAAAGGAAAAGACCTTTGTGCCCCTGTTGTAAGTAAAGCATAATAACAGGAAAAATAAAATGCTTTAACCAACCAAACAGACCCTAACAAAATAAAATAAATTATTTCAACAGTTACTAAACAATGAAGGGCTTGAGTAAGCTTACTTATAGACAAGAGACTAAAGGGAAACTTGGGAATATAAAATACAAAGTGTAAACTAAGGTTAGAACCAAGAGACACATTACCATTACTAGTAATAGTAGAAGAGTAGCCATAAATTAAAATAACAATTTGGGATGTAGAAGGAGGTTACAAAGATGCAAACATATCTGACGAGTCAGTCATATGGTCTAAGGCTCCAAAATCAATTACCTAGGGTGAAGGTGTAGAACTAGAAACAAGGTAGGCAGTACCTGACTTCCCAAGTATAGCAGTGGTTGCATCGGAAGAAGTAGATTGGTGAAGCTTTTCATACTCTTCACGTGAGATAGAGATTATGTCTTTGTCCTTACCAACACTAGAAGCAGGAGCATCTTTAGTCACATTAAGACTTCCAAAATCACCTCCCACCATAGAATGGTTAGCCTAGGAAGATGGAGGGCCATAAAGATCATAGCAGAAGTTAACCGTGTAACCTTTTTGTCCACAATGTGAGCATTCATGAGCTGAACTATGGTCACCAGTGTTTGGAAAATTTTCTATGGTGTATCTCATTGTACAATGTGGGTTGAAAGCGATTAGATATGTTCTCTAAAAATTTGAGATATTGCAATTATCTAAAATATGGAAGCATAAGGTTCTTTTGAAATGGGAGCAAAAGTTTCAAATTGCAAAAAAACAAGTAAAATGTCAAGGAAGAAAATTGTACTTACTGATTTTGTTGGGTTGTTAAATATCTGCTTATTTGACTTTGCTGACATTTTCATTTGAGAGATAGTTTATATGTATTTTATATTTGCACTTCACTATGATGATTTATAACCTAATGGATCTCTTCTTTCACTTTGCTTCTATCCATGTGCATATCTCACATCTTTATTATGTATGATGCCATAGAAAGAAGCGGTTTCATAAATGGGCGCATCATGACTTCTTCTCATTGGTGTAAAGAGAGCCTCTATCAAATTATATTATCAAAGTTTGTTTTCATAATAATTTTTTAATGGCAAGAGGAAGGCCTAGGAAAAATGCCAAAAGAAAATCTGTGTCCCTTGGTAACAACTTAGGTGGTACCTATGAAGAGCTACAAGTCAAAAAGCAATGTGATACATCAAATGACAATGAAGGTAAAAGTTACACTTTTTTCACTTGTAACTTGCTTTTGTTTTTTTACCTTTTTGTTTTTCTCTTAAATCATTAGATTTATATATGATCACCATCTTTGCTAGTTAAACTGTTGAAGTTTAGGGCCTTAGAAGATATCCGATTTAGATATATTCTATAAAATTTTATATTTTTTTCATTGAGTAAGTCATGAAATATCTTAACTTTCAAAACCTGGCCCATGGAAAATTATGTTTAGAAAATAATGCAAGTTTTGCTAGTCAGTACACTGGGGGAGGGGGGGAATATGATTAATGGTAAAAAAGGTAACATCCTTGGAAATTATACTCGTACTAGAAGAGTAATAATACTTATATGTTGGTTAGGTTAGAAATCAATTTTAACATGGCCAAACCAGATTTGGTGGCTAGCCAAATTATAAAAAAATTTCTAACCCAATCTGAGAACTAAGTTCTCGGTAATTTGAAATATGAATTTATGGATCGATCTTGCATTGAATCGGACCAGATTTGAAACCCAAATTAAATGCTGGTCATACCTAGCATGGAGTCTACAAAAGCAGCTCCTAAACTGGTAGTTCACGCTTAGTATTAGACCTAGATTGGCCTCCTGTTGTAGATGGTATAGCAGTGTGTGTGAAGCCGATTCAAAAATGCAATTTTAGCAAAATTGAACTCCAACCTCCTTAGATCGACGTAGCTATGTGAACCTTGATGTGACTGATGTTTTTCTCTAAAAACTCAACAACTAAGGACTGAAGAGAATCAGCCCCTACAGTGGCTGGTTCAAACTAGGGTTTTGGGGTGCAAGGGAAGAGAGAAAAAATGCAAGAGAGTGAAGAGAAATTGGATGGTTTGCTCCTCCCTCTCATCTCTTATATAGACCACTCTCCTAATCCTATTAGAAACTGATCCAAATCAGATTTGGATCAGGACTCTCCGTGTTTAGATAAGCCTTATCTTTTTTAATAGAAATGGGTGCTCCATACCCATATTCATGTCATATTAGACCCATGTCATGTGATCACTTAATTAATCTCATTAATAATGGGCTTAAGGCCCATTTT